GTGGCTTCCTTCTTGTATCTGCATCTTTCATTCTGAAGGAAGTCAGTTACTGTAGTGAGGGTACTCAAGCATCCATGGAAAAACCCATATGGGGAAAATCTGAGGCTTTCCGTCAACACCCAGCCCCATGTTTGTGTGCCATCTTGGAAGCAGAATCTTCAGCCCCAGGCAAGCCTTCAGAAAACTGCAGCCCCTATGAAATCTTGCCTGCAACCTTTTGGGAGACTCTGAACCAGAACCTTCCAGCTAAGCTACTTCCAAATTCCGGAGCCACAAAAACTGTAAGATAACAAATATTTATTGTTTTAAGTCACTAAGTTTTGGGGCAATTTGTTATACAGTAATAGATAAATAAAACATTCACCTTATAAGGTCATATGATCAGTAAGTGGTGGAATAGAGATTTGAATACTGGTTTGTCTGTCTTGGAAGCTCATGCTGTTAACCCCAACTCAGTACTGCCTGAAGTACTACTGTAGTTTATATTTTGCCTCCTTTAAAAAGCCTTGACAGAGCCTCCCCCTCAAAATTCATCTCCCTCCAATCTGTATCTTTAAGCCCTCCTCAAAATGTCCATCCCTCATGCTCCTGCTCCAATATCCACCTTCATTGCTAACTTCCTAGCTCTAGGCTCTCAGTTTGGGCTCTTAGTTTTAGTACTTACATCCTGGGTGTTGTGAAGATTAAATGAGATAATATGTGTAAAAGTGCTTAGCAGAGTAGTGGTTCAATTATAATACATATTATTTCTTAGATACAGCACTTTTTCTGCTCTATGGAGGATCTCAATCCTGGCTGTACAATAGAATCACCTAGGAAGCTAAATAGTAATAATAATAGTAATAATAATAATAATGCCTGGGCTGTACCTAGACTCTGATTTAATAGGTCTTGAGTGAAGACAGGAACCAATATTTTTCCAAAGCTCCCCAGATGATTTTAGAGTGAAGCCAGGGTAGAAAACTGCTGGATTATATCAGGGGTTCTTAACCAGAGGCAATTGTGCCTCAACTCCACCCTTGAAGACATCTGCCAATGTCTGGAGATATTCTCGATTGTCACAACTGTAGGAGGGTGCTACTGGCATCTAGTGGGTGGAGACCAGAGATGCCGCTAAGCATCCTACAATGCACAGGTCAGCTCCCTACAACAAAGAATTGTCCGGTCCTAAATGTCAGTAGTGCCAAGGCTAAGAAAGCCTGGATTAGATATTGTTTCCGGCTCCTGCCCTCATTCTCCTTAAGAACTTTGGTTCCTCCTTGCTTCTCTGACTATTCCTGCTCGACACTATCCTGGAGAAGAAAACAGCTTCTGAGTTCTTGCCTCTCAGGACCAAATCTGGGCTGGAAACAGCTTGGCCACTGCCCCAGCCGGGCCGGCTCCAGCCCCGCCAGGAAGGGCATGTGGATGATCTCATGTTTCCTCATTTCCCTGCAGTGCTTTGTTAAGATCTGATTGCAACACTCACAATAGAAGTCAAAGCTAGCTATAAACATGTGTCTCTCACCCCAAGGGCCAGAGTCACACTTTTCATTTCTGGTTTTGCCACAGCACCAAGCTCTGTGTTGAACTGGGTAGGTGTTCAATAGATATCTTTTGCATCAAATGAATTAGATTAGTACCATTTCAATCTTTATCATGCATTTGAGCATCTCCTTTGAAAGGTAATGGAAGTTGAAGACACAAATGCCAGTTAAAGAAAGAGTTCTTGTGTTTCTGCTCTCATGGAATGCAGCTGAAATGACTGCTATTGCTACTTTCCAGTCTTTTTTTTTCTTTTTTTAGTTGGGGCCTCACTCTGTTGCCAAGCCTGGAGTGCAGTGGCGCAATCAAGGCTCACCACAGCCTTGACCTCCTGGGCTTAGGTGATCCTTCCGCCTCAGTCTCCTGAGTAGCTGGGACTACAGGCGTGTGCCACCTCACCTGACCAATTTTTAAATTTTTTTGTAGAGACTAGATCTCACTCTGTTGCCCAGGCTTGGTCTTGAAATCTTGAGCTCAAACAATCCTCTTGCCTGTCTTTTAGAGTGCTGGGATTCCAGGTGTGAGCCATTGCACTGGCTACTTTATAACATATTTATATAACTGCCTGCAGTTGTCAGCAGCCATTTTAAATAAAGATATTTGTACAGTAAATGACTAGGGATCTGAAAGGACTCATTTAGAGACATTTCTTATTTTTAAGATTCTTTTTCACTGGTTACTGCAAGTGGGAAAATGTTTCATTTTCAAGGCAAAGTAACAACTTGGAGAACAATACTGGAAAAACCTTGCCTTAGAAATAGATCTACAAATCAATAAAATTATGGGCCTTCCATTTCATAATGGACAAAATTAGGCAAAGATTTAGAAGCTAAATAAGAAACAAAGTTTTCCAGTATTAATGACCTTTTTAAAAAAAAATAAAGGTAATATCTGGGTTTTCTTTAATTCTTCAAATTGAGAAAGACAGTGTAAGGTGACACACACTCAGTGACAACATTAGCACATCCTGGATATGGCCGCAAGCTGGGTGACTAATCCAGGATGTCCCCTTCCCCTTAGGCTTGGGCTTGGACACTCAGGACATGCTAAGACCGTGGGCAAGGAATTCCCAACGCCTACTGACCCGGGGACCTCATCTTGCAGCTATGCAAGTGAATTTTCTTGAGTACACTTCCTTGAGGCAGTTGGCCCTCAGGGTTGGTTCAGACCAGATCAGGCATGCATGGATCAATACCCATAAGCTTTGGTTTTCTTTAGTTCATTGTAACACTAACAATTCCACCCCTAGAGAGAATTCACAGTCATTTTGTGTGCATGTGACATATATGGAAGCGCCTTCTCACACTACATCTGCACCCTTTTCATGCTGAACCCCACACCTCACCCTATGTAAAATGCTACATAATCCATGTGCCTTTTACACTCGGGAGCAGTTTTTTCCTGACCAGCTGGCTGCTCCTGGACCATTTTCCTTGTAAGTAAGTTTCCGAATAAAGCCCATGTCTCATCTGTTGCCTCTGGGTCATTTCTTCAGTCTCTCAAACATAGTGCCTTCCCTCTTGGGGGTCTTTGGAAGTCTAGCATGACAGTCAGTCAAGAGTCTATTCAACTTGGCATTCTCAAAGAGGGCAAATTTAAGCAAAAGATGTGACATTTGAGGGCTAAGAGTCTAATTTAAGGTCTTATAATTTGTTTAATATGTTACTTTGCAAGTCTTACTTGATTTCCTTGTGCCTCAGTTTCCTACCATTGTTCCTACAAAGAGCTAGCATGGAAACATCTTCAAAGCAACAGGAAAAATACATATTATTTTCTCTAAACTAAGCTCTTTTCTTCTACCGGTGGCTTAAAATAATGGAACACTGCTTGAATGTCATCCTCTGAGATCTTTCCTGACCACTGTATAAAATTAAGTCCCTCAGTGCTCCATGACCCACTCACCCTCCAACTTTATTTTTCAAAGCACTTATTTGCTTACAGTCTGTCATCCACCACTAGAATATAAATTCTATGAAGGCAGAGATTTGGGGCTACTTTGTTCACTGCTCTATTTCCACACCTGGAAAGATATTTGGTACACAGCATTATGCAATAAATATTTCTTGTATGGGCTGGGCATGGTGGCTTATGCCTGTAATCCCTACACACTGGGAGGTCAAGGTGGGGGACTCCCTTGAGCCCAGGAGTTTGAGACCTGCCTCGGCAACACAATGAGACCCCATCATCTTTACAAAAAATTAAAAAACAATTGGATGGGAATGGTAGAGCACACCTATAGTGCCAGCTATTCAGAGGCTCAGGCAGGAGGATCACTTTAGCCAAGGAAGTTGAGACTACAGTGAACTATGATCGCACCACTGCACCCCAGCCTGCATGACAGAGCAAGACCCTGTCTCAAAAAAGAGTATTTCTTGTATAAATGAATATCTTATGCAAATCTAGAAGTAAAATATACTATAAAGCCAAAAAAGGCATAATTTAGATGTAATTGAATCAACATGGCTAGATCTGAAAAGTACATATTTGAATTACATAAAAGCATATTGTAGTAAAATACATAAATTTCTTCATCTGCAAATAGGACTGGTAATAACATTGTTATAAGGATCAAGATCAGTGGTACCAAATGGTAAAACAGTGATACAGGTGCTCAGTAAACGCTAGGTGCTACCATCAGTATCATTGCTACATCATTAATAAAAAAATCTCCAGCCTGTAATCCCGCGCCTTTGGGAGGCTGAGGTGAGTGGATTGCCTGAGCCCGCGGGTTCGAGACCCGCCTGGGCAGCGAGACCTCATCTCTACAACAAATCAAAAATTCAGCCGGGCATGGTAGCACATGCCTGTAATTCCAGCTACTCGGAAGGCTGAGGCGGAAGGATCGCCGGAGCCCAGCAGGTCGAGACTGCGGTGGCCGGGAGCGGCCACTGCACTCCAGTCTGGGCGACAGAGTGAGACTCCAACTCAAAAAAAATAAAAAACAAAAAAATAAAATAAATCTCACAGCAAAGAATACTATGAATTTTATATGATATAGACTAATTTTAGCTAAATAACCAATTTCAAGAACTCTGGAAGGATGCATTGTAGATTGAACTGATAACATCTGTCAGGAGAGGAGACCCAGATTAGAATGGTCAAAGAGAGCTTTAACTTTATCTGTCATGTTCTAATATTATAAATGGAGAATTGATGCATATAACTAAAAATTAGTATTTAGTAAGTTTAGTTATATTTCCTGAGACCTAAGACCTTCAGAGGGAGAAAGAGAGAGAATGGAGAGATAAGTTACTTAGAATAAGAATGTTTTTAAGTTTCCTATTTTATTTCTGGAGTGATTGAATGAAATTACTGGCATGGATAGGATGAGTTTAAGCTAGATTAAAAATAACCACAGACAAGAGCCACAGGGTCCTGGGTAGATCACATCAGTTAGTTCTCTCAGATTGGAGAAGATTATTATTAACACATATTAAAATTAGGAATAAGTTATTTGAAGCCTGTGTCATACTTACTGGTGCTTTAGCCACTCTTCCACAAATGGAATGGAGAAGAATTCTGTGAATGGCTCCCCTGTCCTCTTTGGATTTTGACTAGTCAGGAACAATAAGCAAAATTTCAAGTCAATTGCTGCTCTTCTGCTTGCAAATTAACACTGTTAAGTTCGTAGGGTCATTGAATAGTCAAAGACATGAAAGACTTACTTGTATAACCATTCAGTGAGAAAATCACAAGCAATAAATTTGGTTCTTTTCCTCTAAAGAGAGAAGAGAGGATTAAATTACAGTTGATCCTTAAACAATATGGGTTTGAACTGTGCAGGTCCACTGAACGTGAATTTTTTTCAATAAAAGTTACACCGAGTGTGCCTCCTCCTCTTCCAACTCCTCTCCTTCTTCTGCCTCTGCCAACTCTGAGACAGCAAGACCAAGCCCTCCTCTTCCTCCTCCTCCTCCTCAGCCTGCTCTACCTGAAGATGCCAAAGATCAAGACCTTTATGATGATTCACTTCCACTCAATGAATAGTAAATATAGTTTATCTTCCTTATATTTTTCTTAATATTTTCTTTTCTGTGGCTTACCGTATTGTAAGAATATAATATATAACACATATAATATATAACATATGTATTAATTTAATTGACTGTTTATATGCTTGGTAATGCTTCCAGTCCACAGCAGCCTGTTAGTTGTTAAGTTTTGGAGAAGTCAAAAGTTATACACCGATTTTCGATTGCACAGGGGTTTACCAGAGGGTCAACTGTATATTCTTACTTTGCCCACATATTTGAGTATGATGTGTGAAGGAAGAGAGGTTAATTGATAGCTTGTGTTAGAAAAATATACATGAGTCCGTTATGAGGTTTACAAGCATATCAACAAACAGTAACTTGGGCAATGTAAAGAAATCTAAAAACATTTTTTCAGTCCTCTTTGGATAAGCACATTTTCTGACTGCAGGGCTGTCAGTGCTCATAGTGGGTACTTATTACATGATTTTGGAATTGTCTTGGAAAGATTTTGTTATTTAAATGTAGATCAAGATTTTCTTTTCTGAGTAACTATATTTATTGCTTTCCCCCATCTTCTCTCAAATCCTTAGAACAGCAGGGCTTCAGGTAAGGGTGCCACCTTCACAGGTGGACACCCAGCACACAGGTGACAATGGCAGTATGAATGTCCCTGTGAGCTGTCCACCCAATGTCCACTCTCTGCCTCATCCTCATTAACAGAAATCTGCTTTCAAATGGCAATCAACTCAGCTAAAAAACTACATATCCCAGGCTCCCATGTAGCAAGGGACAGCTGTGTGATAGCGTTCTGCCTTATGACGCAGAAATAGACACATCCTAGGGATTTCTGAGAAAACTCTGTTTTCCTGATTTCCACTGCTCTTTCTTCCTTGAAGTTTTCTTTCACTTCTTTCAGGCTGAAAACTGAGATATGGGGCTGGAAATGAAGCCACGCCTCTCAGCTGTGAGGCCCAAAACCACATGCTAAGGATAGTGGAGCAGAGGCTAGACAGAGCCTGGACCTTTGCTGAATTTCATAAGCCACTGCACCAGCTTGGGCCTGCCCTACTCTGGACATCTATGTTAAAAAAAAAAAATTAATTTCATTTGGTTTATTACCACTGTTCTTGAGTTTTCATTACATGCAATTGAATGAAATTGCAGTCCCTGGGTAACAGATACCTAATATGCTATGAGGGAAAAGCATCCCAGAGTAATGGAGGAGAAACATGCTGAGAAGGCCAGTGGGGTGTGGCACCAGGTATCCTGTCTTCTGTTTCCATTTAGAGTCTCTTCTTGTAACCCAAACAGAATCAGTCAACTCCTTTTGGAGAATCGTTCTAGAGACTGGGAGACAGAGAGTCCCTGCCTCTCCTTTTAAGACAGCAGGGGCTAATAATCAAGTCAGTTGCTGTGTGGAGTGACCCTTCCCAAGAAGAATGACAATACAAGGTATTCTGGAAACGCTCTTTGCCTCTCCAGGTACCCTTCTGTACTCTGCTCTACACCTCAGGAGGCTGATTTTATGTTTCACATCAACCAGGATCCTTTGCCCTCTAGTTGGGTCCAACTAATGGGAGGTAACAGCAGGAGATCAGAGATACAGGGGAGAGAAAGGTGAGGTGGTAGGGGTTGAATTGTGTCATCCCAAAATTCATATGAAGTCCTAACCTCCAGTACTTTAGAATGTGACCTTATTTGGAAATAGAATGGTTGCAGATGTAATTAGTTAAGCCCAGTCACTCCTGCAGGACAAAGCAGCTTCAACGAGAGTGAGCACATTTGGAGTCTATTAGCAAGGAAGAAGGGGGATGTAGTCAGGTAGACCACAAGGGGCAGATTCCTTATGACATGGTGCTGCTAGATCCTGGACCCAGCTGTGGCTGAAGCCAAATTCCCTGGTTCAGGTACACGAACCTATATACTTTCTTTTCCTTCCTTCCTCCCCTCCTACCTCCCTCCCTTCCTTCTTCTTTTCTTTTTTTTTAGTAGAGACAGGGTCTTGCTATGTTGTCTATGCTGGTCTCAAACTCCTGGGCTCAAGCAATCCTTCTGCCTCTGCTTCCCAAAGTGCTGAGATTATAGAATTGAGCCACTGCACCCAGCCTATATTCCCTTTCTCAATTAAGCTAGTTTGCATTGGGTCATTTATTGCTTGCAACAGAGTTGTAAGCATTATTCCTCTCTTCTCCAATCGACTGCCTTACATTTGTCCTTCAAGATGTCTCCAGAAAGCCTTTTTGAGCATTCATGGCCTGAAGTTTAGGATGGGCTCTCCCCCAGTCTTCTGTATGCCCTCTGTCATAGTACCCTCAGAATGTAACATAGTTCTCCACCCACACGTCTATCTTTCTTACTGAATTCTAAACTCTATGAGGAGAGGGCACATATCTTCTTTTTATTCCCAGTTCTTAATCAACGGCATTGCACAGAGCAGGTGATCAATGAATGCTGAGTAACCGAATGAATGTATTCACCATCCAACTTTCAAGCAGCAAAGCAAGAAAGAGCTCACGTACAAGGATTCTGATATTGAAAAGTAGAAATTACTGATATAATTCTGGATAATTTCTCTTTACAATTTCTTCCCATAAATGTTTTACTATAAAAATTTTTCCATCTTTTTGGCTCTTCATTTTGAAATAGCCAACTCAGTTTTATAATCTTAGATAAGGCTGAAAAAATTGTTGTGAAATTGATGTTCACCAAAAAGAAAAGTGCTCCTTAAAACTATTTACTGAAAACTTTATTATAGATTTTAGTAAATAAAATACAATGGTGCCTGAGTTGCTGGAGATTATTTACAGTCTTTTACCTCATTGCTGATAAACGTTTATGAAAAAATTGAAACACTCCTGGTCATGGTTATAAAATGAAATGTACTAGACCATGTAATGAGGTCTTCTAATCTGCCTTGCAGGGTAGGATTCCCTTTAGAAAGCCATCTTTAACCAAAATAAGAAAATACTTGCACAACAATGCAAATATGTAACTAGTATGAATTGTCATATAATAATTTAAACAATCTGGCAATTGTGGGATGGCAATGTCTCTCTCTTGTCCTACAAAAGATGCATTGTTCCCTTGGTATTTATCGCATCATTTAGTGGTAAAGATTTCTTCAGCAAGGGGAATGTAGCTTGACTCTAATAAATAGACTTTAAAAATAGCCAAATGGTCTAATGTATAAAGGTCATGCAGACAGATTTAATCACTTTTGAAATTGATGCAAAGAAATAAAATGGAAGAAATTGTGTTTTCCTTCTGTTCTAGGCAAGTGTGAACGTGCTGTGCATACCCAGACATGCAGAACAGTGGGGATATTGTTCAGCTGTTGTTTAGTTTTAAAATTATCTGCTGGGGAGCTGAAAGAGAGAAGGAAAAGCAAATGAAAAGTTGTGGTGAGTGAAGAGATAAGATAAAAATTAAAGAGCAAGATTAAGATAGTGTGGGCCCCCAGGGTTTGTGTAATGTGGACAAATGCATTGAGCTCTTGATTGTTAAAAGGTGAAAATGCATAAGATTGAGAGAACAGAGGAAGCAGTTAAGGCAACCTCAAAGAGGTCGAACATTTTTTGAAAAATCTAGAATTAAAAGGAAAAAGACTATGCGTCTGCAACTTACTTTGAAATGCATCCAACAAACCAAGATAATGGACAGAGGGATAGACTGATGGGTTGGTGGGCAGATATGTGATAAAACAAATACAGCAAAATGGTAATTGTAGGTGGTGGATATGTGGGTATTCACTCCAAAATTCTCTCAGTTCTTCTAGCGGCTTGATTTCTATCAAGGGGGAACAGAGGAGGAGATCATTATAAAAGACCCAGGCCTCAAACAGAGAAAAGGCAGAAATTTACAGGTGTTCAAGCCACACAGTGTTTTGCATCAATTTTTATGTTGGTTACAAGTATAGAAGACCACTGGAAGACTGAAGGTTGGGAAGAGAAACAACCAGCATTTGAAAGCAACTGAATCTGCATCAGGTGACTAATATAATTCCATCCCAGAAAAGTCAAAAGCACATGCTGTGAGTTTAGTGAATTGAAGTATGGCTGCCTATGGTATTGTGTTGCTTTTGGGGCTTGCAAGGAATAAAAATAAGCTCAGTTTACTTTGTGCTTTAGTCCATTCAGGATGCTATAACAAAATTATCACAAACTGGGTGGCTTTTAAACAACAAACATTTGGGCCAGGTGAGGTGGCTCACGCTTATAATCTCAGCACTTTGGGAGGCTGAGGTGAGAGAATTCCTTGAGTCCATGAATTTGAGACCACCCTGGGCAACATAGGGAAACCATGTCTCCACAAAAAAATAAAAATAATTAGCCAGGTGTGGTGGTGCATGCCTGTAGTCCCAGCTATCACGAGACCGAGGTGGAAGGATTGCCTGAGTCCGGGAGGTCGAGGCTGGGGTGAGCCGTGATCGTGCCACTGTGCCACTGCACTCCAGTCTGGGCAACAGAGTCAGATCCTGACTCAAAACAAAAATAAAAATAAACATTTATCTCTCACAGTCCTGGAGGCAGAAGGTAAATGTGCAGGCAGATTTGGTGTCTGGTTCCTCCTAGATGGCACCACCTCATTATATTCTCACAGGCAGCTCTCTGGAGCCTCTTTTATAAGGACACTAATCTCACTCATGAGGGCTCCACTCTTATGTCCTAATCACCTCCCAAAGGCCCCACCTCCTAATATTATTGCATTGGAGATTAGGTCTCAACATACGAATTTTGGGGGGACA